TGTACATGCTACAACACTGCTTTAAGCCGACAGTTAAATCAGTGGTACTTCATTATTTTATAATAGTTGATAATCTGGTATCTAAATATGAAAAATTAAATACTCCTCCTTTCCTCCACCCCCTCCCCATCTCTATCCCTCTTTTCCCATCCCGCTGCCCTCCCAGTGAGACAAGTATGGGGTTAAATCTCTCATCAACTGTTCCCAGGAAATGTGCTCTTCTTCAGTGTAGTGCAAACCCTACCTTGGTTGAGGTAGGTCAGGGTTTCTTCGTGCAGTTTCACGGCAGGTGATGTGGCTGTGCAGAGGACGTACTGAAAGGGTGGCAGTTTGGCATCATTCTCAGGAGACAGCTGCGGTTCTTCCTGCTTGAAAATCGGCAGCGCAAGGACATCTCTGCAACACACAATTCACAGACATTTAGTTACAAAGAGTTTATGGAATATCCTAGCCTAAATCTGCACTTGGTTCTCATGATCTGGTATAATGGAGATGGTCTCTGAAGAAACAGAGTTAAAATGGCTAAAAGAGAAAGAATCCTGCCTGTATAAAGTAACCAGGCAACTTCTGCCTCTAGGACATCAGCACTGCACAAAAAAAAGAACACACCACTGGCAATACAGAATGTCTGAGAATTAATTTATGTTTTTAAAAATTAAATCAGATTTACTTTTCAGTTAAGCAGTTTTCTTGATGAGGACCAAAATTACCAAAAATAGATTCTTCATCCTTGTGGAAGTACATATGTTTAAGAGTTCTTGGGTTCTCAGATGAAAGCCTTTCAGGGAAAAAAAAAAAAAAAGCAAGAAAGGGCACTTTGACAGTTGAATCTCTGGTTAGTAAAATGTCTACAAGTAGCAACCAAGGGCAAGGAACAGACACAGCTCTGGTGTAAAAAGGAGACATTCAGGTAAATAATGGCATGAATCCTGCTGGATTAATTGACTCATGAGATCTCCGTACACTCTAAATAAGCCTGGTCCCAAGTAATCACATAGCTCTTAAGTCAGTACTGGGCCATCTTCATAAATGCACACAAAGGTGCTCAGAAGCAGCTTCACCAGGACCTGCACATAGTCCCTGTCCTCACTTCTTTACAAGATGTTGATGCTGACCTGCCTGCTGATTTAGTGTCAGGCTGATCCCAACCCACACTAATCCCCAAGCAGAACTGGTATTAGCAAGGCTGAGAGCTCGACAAATGATTAGTTGATTAGTACAAAATGAGATGACAGGAATAAGCATCCTTGTCTCAGCCTGTCTGATGCTGAAGAACCACATTAGCCCTACCCATGTCACAAACATTTCTGATCATTGTGTCCACCTACTTAAGACATTAATATCCTTCCAAATTAGGAGGATTATGTTGAACATGGAGACAATTCAGAATAAGATTCTTTTTCTCCTGCATTTCCTCCAGATGTGTGAAGACTTGAGATTCCCATTACAGAGGCTGCAGTTCTGCTCCTTTTGATAATCTCATATACAAAAAGCTTTAAGAAAAAACATCCAGGAACATACCAGCATGTACAGGCATGCACCCTAAAAGGGCATTAAGAATTTTTGCCTTGCCTGTTCAGTTAATGATCCACTCGTAGCACCCACAACCTTGAAGGCTACCCAGGTCATGAGTGAAACAGTGCAGCAGTTTAGAGCAAACTGCTGAAGTGCCTGGTTCAACCACAGGTACTCTTATTTATGGCAAAATAAAGCCAAAGAGCAAAATGTGCCATTTCAGACACAAACAGGAGAAAAGAAACACCCATCTCTGTTTCCATTCTCTCTTCCAACCCCACGCCCTCCGTGTTATCACCCACTCAAAGGCATCCAGCCCCATTTGCTTACTGGCATTACTGACATAATCACGGCTCTTGCCTAACTGCTGCCACAGAGAGGATTTTTTTCCTTAGTGATGATTTACTACAGTAACGAAGTGACAGAAATGCCTGCAGTAGATTTCTGAAATAGATAGCATTGCTCCACACACATGCAGGATCTGATACTGCTCCAGAGTCATCTTGTTCACAGATGCCAACATTTGCTCTTAACACACTCGTCTGCACAATGCCATTGGAATGTGTGCGGCTTTACAGACGAGAACAGGTCAAAAACTCCAAAGCCCAAAACTTCTGCAGTTCAGCAGAAATGGTGCACAAAGTCTGGCCCAGGTTTAACAGTTAGTGATGAGGAATTTGTACACCTACTCACCTGAAACAACTGAGAAATTTAGGCAAGAGGATATCAAAATTCCACCAATACCATATTTCACATCAGGCTCTTAGCACCCCTGCACTTGCCAGAACAGCTGTCTGATTGCTGAAGACTGTAAGCATGGAGGAATCCACGATTTGGTTACTAAAGCCCCAGTGAAGCCACACAATTCAATCACATTTTTATTCTTGGAGCATTTGAACTAATGGCCTGTGGTATCCGTGGCTTTGGGTCAAGACCTTCTAAAACATTCCACCTTACTAAAAATGTTTGGAAGTTAGGAGGTGAAGACTTAAAAGAATTTTTAAGTTAAGTGTATAAGCCATTGCAATATTCAACTCTTAAAAAAAAAAAAAAAAAAAGGGGAACTTCTTAAAACTCTCACAAGTTTCACCTTTTTGCTAAAACTTTCCAGTTCTGGTCTTAACCAACACTTAGACCTGAGAACAAAGTTATTTGAGAGTTCAGTCAGCTGACAGAACAGAAAGTAAAACATGTACTTGGTTTTTATAAAAACTGAATGAAGATTTACAAGGATTTTTCTGTAATATCATCTTGCTTTAACTACAAATGCCACTGAGGTATGGTAGAACTTACACAGATGCCTCAGATACACAGAAAGTCTTTGATTTCTGCAAAGTATAATTTATATAAACTTTTCTTACAGCAAAATTGTATTGTTTCTTACTTCAAAAATTGTACTATTTCAGGTTTCCGTGCAGAGTCGCTACAAGGGGGTATGGAAAGCCTTCAGAAAGGCACAGCTCAGCAGAAAAATGCCCCTCTTAGAAATGCATATCTTGACACATTCTCATGGAAAGTGAATTGGCCAGAATTAAGAGGTCTCTACACAAAAAATGAGGGGTTTGTTCAACCAACCTTCCCTGAAACACCCGAGGGCATTGTTGCCATAAAACTGATTTTAGGGCTTTTAGTCCCAGATCAAAAACACCATGGTCACAGTAGCAGATACTCACTAAAGCTGAAGTTTGTTCCTAAAACACTGACAGGTCACTGCCATACCAGCAGCCTTCCTGACAGAAAGGTATCCTTTATCCCCCAGCTAGCATCAAGCCAGCAAAAATAAGCAAATGTGTTTTCTGGCCAATTAGACAAAATTGAAATTGTGGACTCAAGCCTGACCCAGACCTGATGATCTTGAAGCACTGTGCTACAAACCCATTATGAAGCAGTTAATGAAGCAGCCTGAGCACCATAAACACTCTCTAATGCTGAGAATACACACAAGTAGCAATGCTGATGCTCCTCTGCTACTGCCGTCCTCACTGTCCTAAACTAATCAGATCTGCAAGCACAAAGCAAGAGAACAAGACTTTTGCCACAAACATGTTGTGAAACTGACTTATTGAAACAGAGGGACAACATGAAGAATCTTGTATGAAGAAGTGGAGAAACTGCCAGAAAGTAAGAATCTTACAGTACCATATCATTTGATAATGGGCAAAATAGAGCAAAAAAAAAAATCCTTTGTAAATACACTGATAGGGAGTAGGAATAGACCAGATAACGTGTCTCCTTGAAAAGGAAGTATTATCTGTGTTGGAAGTGCTTCCCCAGACAAACTCAATGTTCTCTCAAGAGGGGCTGTTTAGGGGTACATTTGAAAGTCAGGCTCTTGGGCCACGGCCAGGTTCTCCACTGCCATAATTCAGCAAAATTCCCCTTTGGCGGAGCAGCAGCAGCAATCGACACCAGCTGACGGCTCAGCTTTACATCTTCAGAAAACAAATAATTCACAAGCAACCAGCAAAAAGGAAACTCCCAAAGTTGCCTGCTTTCACATCGGTTAGAGGGAGGAAACACGGGTTTGTGTTACACATGTTACAGACTATTGTTTAGCAGCCCTTGTACTTAAATTAGGCGCATTTAATTAAACGCAACTGTGCGGAGGCAGGAAAAAGCTGGTTTAGGCAAGCTCAGAAAGTGAAATTCTGAGCTTTACATACACTGTCCCAAAAAGCAGAGAAAGAAATCCCGTCCCCAGAAAACTGCGTGCCTTCTCAGTTTGCCAGAAGGCGTTTTCCACAGACTTTTGACAGCGCCGCAGCCGCACCTCCTCCCTTCGAGCCGCGCTACCTCAGCGCGGAGGAGAGGGAACCCGGCAGCGGTAACGCAAAGCTGCACAGAGCTGTCTAACGAGGCGCTAAAGAAAAAAAAGAAGGAAAAAAAGAAGGGGAAAAACAAGAAAAAAGAACCCGCGGTCTCTCAGACGGAGGGAGCGGCGCTAACCCCGGTTAGGGCACCACGGAGGGCCGAGGGTACCGGGGGTGCCGCCGGGCAGCCGAGCGGGCGGCGGCGGGACGGAGCACCCGACCCCCAAACACCACACAGACCGCTGTGCCAGGCGCAGGGGCTCCCGCCGCCCGGCGACTCACCGCAGGTAGCTGCCGGTCGAGTGCTGGTTTGTAGTGCTCGGGCTGCGGTGTGCCAAAAACAGCATCTTGGGGCGGGCCGGCGGCGGTCCCTGGGGCTGCGGAGGGGCGGCCGCGCTGCCCACTCCAGCGTGCCGGGCACGGCTGCCGCCAACTGGAGCCGCGGCCCGCGGCTCCCGCCGCTTTTATGGCTCAGCCGCGGCGGCCGCGGTTGGCCGGGCCGGGGCTCCGGAGCCCGGCGAGCCCTTCCCCCGGCCCGCCCCGCCGCCAGCCCCGGCCCCCGGCGGGCACGGGGCCGCCAACCCCGGGGCGGGCGCCCGCCCCTGAGGGCAGGCGGGGGCGGGCCCGGCCCGGAGCGGGGTTTGACGGGCCGTGGCGAGGGAAGGAGTGGATGGGTACGGTGAGCCTGGCGACCCCTGGCTCTGCTGGACCTGCCCTGGACTCGGAATTGCCCGTGTTTTAAGCGGAGCCGCGGGAGTGACCTGGCAGCTCCATCCGACATCTGTATGAAATCTCTGCTCAGGTTCCGCTGAGGTCCCTGCTTGAGTGAATGACGCTGGTTGCTTTTACGCCGGCCTGTGCCTCATGTTAATGTGACCTTTGTGTCGGGGTATTTTCCGAGTGGGACAGCAAGAGGCAAAATTTGCCAGAGGAGGTGCAGTAACTAGAGAACAGTGTCAGAAACTAAAGTCACCCCTAACCGTTCAAAACGCTCCTGCCTTTCCTATCTCAACTCCCCTTCTCAGTTAGGAGAAATCTGTTTCTTTGCCATTTCAGATTGCAGATCCTGATCCTCACACACAAAGCTACCCATACCCATCATTTTCCTAACCCCCTGCTTTCAGGGCACCTTCCTGTCCCATCAATCCTTTTCTGGTCTGACAGTTTGTGGAGGGGAAACAAAAGGGTAGAAGGGTTCCCTGTTTGGTCATTTTCTATTGTGTATCCACCAGCAGAAATGGAAACAGACCCTTAATTACTCTGAGTCATTAAACATATTTCAGTCAGTTTTCAGGAGAAGACTTCTTATCTGTGAGGTTTCTGGTCAACTTTCAACTGAGAAAAAAGGTAGTTTACTCAACTACTCAAAGGTAGTTGTTGGCATTTGCTGTCAGATTTCACTGTCAGGTGAGTTTTTTCAGACAGGTGATTTTTCTATTCTCCTGCCATTATTATAGAATAGTGATATTATCACAGCACTTATAGATCATTTTTAGGTCAAGTCAAATAGAGTCAGACACAGTATAGGCATTGGTTGTTTGTATCTTGAAATGAAGAAAAAGGTAACCTGAAAGGTAACAGCAGCTTCATAGAGATGCTATGAATCTGCTTGTCTCAGTTTCAGATTAAGAAATAGCGCAAATCCAATGTGCCTTTAAGGTAGTTTCTCTTTCCTCTGTTACTACACAGCTAGACAAACACCTGGTTCTAACAAAGCCAAATGGTTGGAGTTATCTTGTTGCTTTTTTATACTCTTAAAAATATTTAGCTCTGCTCACACAACATCTGAGACCTTGACTGAGCAAAGCCTATATATAGTTCTTGTACAGAGAAACAAGACAAAGTTTGCTGAACTGTCCAAGGACTTCTCTAAACAGTAAATATCCTCCCACAGTTTGAGTAGTTTGCTGCACCAACTGGAGAAATATGAAGTCCAATGTAAGAGTAAATTGCCACACCACATGAAACAAAGGATCCCATCAAGACTGGCATGTCAGTATTTTCTTTAGTGTCTTTCTGGAAAGTAAATATGTTGGAGTGAAAATTACTTTAAAATAGTCTGATTTGTTTCCTCTCTGGCCTGTTGCTGAATGAAGAAAATAAGGTGAGATCGGCTAATTAATTTTACAGATAGTCTGGCAACAGCTTTGTCATCCAGATGTTTCTGTCCCTGCCATTCCTTGCTCAGCCAAATCTGAGGAAGAAAAAGACATCTTTGTTCCTTGTCTACCTCTCATGAAAGAAATTTCAGCCATCTTCTGGTCTAATTCCTGCTCTTCCCCCAGCATGGAAACATGTACCACAGCATCAGATACCCTCTCCTGATCTTCCAAATCCACGACATCATACAGACCAAGTCCTCCTCTGCTCCCCTCTGGGGCTCCCTTGATCATCCAGCATCTGCTCTTCCTGTTACCCTAACACAGCCCCTCAGTGAAGAATTCTTCTCCTCTACAGCTTTCTCACCCAAACCTCTCTTTGCTCTCCTACTCCCTTCCAGATCAAAGTAATTTCTTTCCCTCTGCTTTGCTCATTGCTCTTCATCTCTCTTTTTAGATGCTTGTTCAATTTGCCATGGTAAAATACTTTGATCATATGATTAAAAGGGATTGAGTGAATATTTTGTTTGCTGGATTTTTCTGCTAGAGGTAATGTTACGAAGGACCTGGAGATACTTTTTGTGTGAAAAAGAGGTATTTTAAGAATAAGTATCTTTTTCTGTGGCTATTTGTGCCTGGACACAAAAGTACTGTGCCAGTGGGTTCAAGCTGGTATGAAGAGAAAAAATATTTTAAATGTGTAAGTTCTTTTGATTAAAAAAAAAAAAAGCAAAACAACAGTAAAAGACCCCAAACACACATACAAAAAAACCCCAAACAAAACACAAAACCTTCAAGCATTAGTATATGCACTTTCAGTTTAAGATGTTATTGCTTCAAAAGTTTGTTCTGCCGCTTCACTGGTCATTGCAATCCCTTTAGCTAAGCACTGAGTGGGAGACATGTATGACCTTCATCTGCTTCACTGGAGAGTCAAGAAGTTTTGATCAGATTCTCAGCACTTAGAGCCAAACTAGTAGAACTTGCACTGAAGTGACCGAGACACAGTCACATATTCTAGAAAAAAGGTGTTCTCACTAGCCAGAGGCCTGAAGGGAAGTGAGCATGGGAGCATTAGAACACTGTAGAGATGGCTAAGTAAAAATTTAGATCTGTAAAAGAAATTAAACACTTAAGTCTCATCACACTGAAAAGAAACAAAGCATCTCTATACCTTTAGGGCTCCCATCACAAACATCTGAATTGCTTCTGAAAAGTCTAACAGGAACTTCTATGTCAGTTAAGCAATTCTGTGTTCATGAAGACCCAGATAAACTCAAAGGATCAAGGCTGAACATTATACTGTATCGAAGAGCTTCCAGAAGTTGCCATTAGTTCATTATGGCATTAGTCAAGGTTACTGAGGGATTACTGCACTTCTCTCCTGATGCATGGACCACAGAGTTACGGCCTGTCTGGATAAACTGCAGGGATCTGAAATGAGCTCCAGAGTCTTGGGAAGGCTTACTGAGATGGTCACCCAAGCACTGAATATGCTCTAAGGAAAAAAAGTCAGCATGATGCCTTTTGTGTTCCCTCTGTGTGTATTTCAGCTCACAGGTTGCTGGCTTTCAACTGGGGAATTCTTGGGGAAACTATATTTAAGTAGGCTCTGCAAGATAACTAAGAAAAGTGACTGAACTGTGACAGCCTAATTTGCTCTACCTTCCCTGGGCTGAAACTAGAAAGGACTGAAAACTGGAGGTTTTAATAAATTGCAAAATTATGAATGAAGAAAGGAACAGCTTTTATACAGCTCTTTTTGTTCTAAAAGCTGGAAAAACATTGCTTTGCCTTTGACAGGGTTTGGGAGACCTTCCAGTGGCAAGTACAAGCTCTCACAGGTAGCCCACTGATTCCTGAGTTCTCCTCATCTATTCCATCTAAGGTCCACTTTTCAGATGAAAACCAGCCTAGATGGGTTCCCATTGCCCTCTACTGAACAGCACCTCAGGGCGTAGCAGGTCGCCAGCAGCTCTGGGCAGTGGCTACCACCAGGAGTAGGAATGTGTTACAGCTGAGAAGGAGGACACTGAACTGGAAAAACTGAGAATGAGCAAGCTCTTGAAAGCGTGCCTTATAGTGACAGAAACATGGAGCTTAGTTTGGTTTTACCCAGAGAAAGATTAAGAGGTGACTCAAACACAGTCTATAAATAGTCAGATGGGAACTCAACATTTCATAAGAATGCTCCTAAACATCACAACAAAGATAAAAGAGCCACGGAATAAACACTGCAATTTCATAAAGTGAGGCTAAGAACACACTGCAGTGAACATAATCAACCATGAGTGTAACTTTCCCAAATTTTGTGGTTAAAGCCCCCTCCCCCCATATCCATTTTTCAGATGTAATTCCAGACTAAATTTTCCTCACAAATAAAAAAAAAAAGAAGGTAAACAGAAAGGAATTCATTTAGGTTCTGTGGCCAGTTTGACAGAGGAGAGCAAAGATGATCTGCAGAACACTTTCTATCTTTACGATCTCTGACATTTTCTACCAAGGGCTTCCAAATGCTCTCCTATTACAGTTACCTCCCTGTTCTACCTTGTGAGTTTGAGGCAATGAATCCCCTTCCCTGACAGTCAAACAGCCACAAAGCTCATATGTCGTGATCTGCTGTCAGCACGATCACCATGACACAGTGAGAACCACATTAACCAAACTTAATAGCAAAACAAATATCTTGAAGAATACCACACAGACTGGCTTATTTATTTTCTTATTCAAGTCATTCATTAAAACCCTCACCATTTTCTCGTTTATCAGAGGTCACCATCAAATTTCCAGCTGCCACTAAATTTCCAGGCACAACATAGCACTGGTGTATCCACGAGGTCTTTTTGCCACAGAAATTAGGCGTTGTTTGCAAGCTTTCCCTGATGTCATATTAATCACTTTGACTGTCCTGATTTTATCACCAGAATCAATTTTATTTTTCTTCCTGGTGAACATTTCTTTTAAAGTCATTTTGTTGTGGAAACAAAAAAAAAATATTTACACAATGAGGATGATCGATGATTGGATGACAAAATAAGTGCTTTTTAAATGCTCATTATACATCTATTGGCATTGGCTGCCTCATTGTGAGCTACGGGCTGCAATCGCAGGGACGCACAGTAGCCATGTTTACATCGCTGCAAGAGAGACCTCCGGAGCTGACAGCACTAGTGGGAAAGGAGCACATGACTTTAAAAAAAAAAAAAAAAAGAAGAAGAAAGAACAACAACAGAGAAAGATCATGTACTTTTTGGCTGCAGCAGACACTGAATCCACAAACATCTGTGCCCGGTACGTGTCTGGGGGTTAGTTACGGTTCCTCTGCCCGAGGTCACCATGTGTGCTGCCAACTCCAGCAGCCTCGGCTGTCCTGGCTGGAACAGCATGAATACATCACCCCCTCACACACACCAGGTTGGCAGAGCATGTAGACCATCACCACTCAGTGCTTTGTGGGGAGCAGTGGCAGAAGCCGAAGCATCGTCACCCAGAGATGACAACAGCCCAGCTCTGCTCACAGCTCTGCTGTCTGAGAGAGCTTTGCTTCCACAGCTGAAAAATTGTAGCTGGTACAAAAATATCTGTGATGGCTGCGAGTATCCCACATCTGCTCACCAGCGTGGTCTGCCACCCTGCCCCAAACACTGGTGTCAGCACAAGCAGGGAAAGCAAAGGGGAGAAAGGAGTGGCCAGGAGCTCGGCTGCAGCAAGAACTGACTGCTTTGACCAGCTTTGCCAGAGGTGGGTGTGGGAAAGCAGAAAAGGTGCCAGAAGATGTCTAGTCCATAGATCCCACAGACCAAGGCTGTGTCCTCTCTTCCCATGGAAAGAGAGTTCTAAAAGCCTGAACAAGAGGCAGAAGTCACCCTCTGCAGATATGCAGACAACACCAAACTGGATTGGGTGGTTGGCATACTGAGCACTAGTACTTTGATCCAGCAGGACCTTGGGAAACTTGAGGCCAAGAGAAACCTCATTAAGCTTTGTAGAGCCATGCAAAGCCCTGCACCAAGCTGGAATAACCCCATGTGTCAGTTCTGGCTGGGAACCAACTAACTGAAGAGCAGCCCTACTGAGGAGGACCCATGTGTTAGTTTGAAAGACAGATTAAATGGGAAACAACAGTTCTCTCTTGCCACAAATGAGGCAAACCACTCCTTGTAGTGCAGGACATTAAGGGAAGTTATTGCCCCTTCTCCTCAGTGCTGCTGGGACTGCACGTGTTTGAGCCTCTTGTTCAAGATGGAGGTGGAGAATTTGAACAGGATCCAGCAAGTGAACTGCTAAAACACTCAGGGCATAGAGTACTTTTGTGAGGAGAACTTGAAGGCATTAGTCTTGCTGAGTCTGATGATGATGAAGTCAAGACAGGACCTAGTAACAGCCCACTATGTAAAGGCATTAAAAAAGATGATGAAGCCAAACCCTTCTCAGTAGTAGCAGTGATTAAGCCAATGTCCACAAGCTATGACTTGGAAGTTAGACTGAGCACTAACAAAAACTTCTCCACTAGAGGACTGGAACTGGTTACCAGACAGGATGTGGCATCTCCATTCTAGGAGGTGTTCAAGATTCCAGCAGCAGAGCCATAGTTGATGCAATCCAGTGTAGGCTCCAGCCCTATTTTGAGGTGAAGTTTAGATTAGAGACATTCAGAGGTTACTTTCCATCAGCATTTCTCAAGTCTATGAAATCTTGCAAGGGATACTGTGACCGTGACACAGGTTTTAGTGGATACGCCCACAGTCCCCTTCCTGCTCAAGGCAATGTCCAGGTCTTTACCACATGTGTAACACCTCATGGATGTCCACAGCTTCACAAATTCTGAAGAGACTCATAGTGAAATGTCTACATGCTGTTCTACTGCATATGCTGTCCTGCCCTGGTGAGACTTCTGCGCAAAAAGCTGCTGAAAAGTGGTTATTTCTAACTCTAGAGGAAAGGTGTTTTTATAAGTGGGACCTGGCAAAGTAACAGTGTCAAGTAGACCCATCCTCTCCAATGTAAACTCCTCAGATATGAAATTATTCCAGGATAATTACTGGACACAGTTGAGCATGTAGAAAGATCTAAAATGCTCCACCCCGGGGCATTTATCTGTTGCAGGACAGTACAAAGCATGAAGTACATTACAGAGTCTTTCATCTCCCCTTAAACACTTTAGAGACATTTAAAATTCCTTGAAAGGAAAACATTTTAAGATCCTTCATGTACTCAAAATGCCTTTCAGTAGTCCCTCAGTGAATACTTTGTACCTTAGCAGAATCACAATTTACAGCTATAAGACCACTAGTCCTTCACAAACACTGTGACTTTTAAAAACTCAAAATATGAGAAAAGAATGACCATTATTATAATTATTATTAGATTTCTTCTTTCCTTCAAAGCAAAGCTTTCATCAAATGAGGTTTTCCTTATAGAAATGCTCTAGGTAGATGATTCACACAACAAATTCATAACTAAGAAGAAGATAGACTGGAAAAGGGAGTGTGGTTTTCTTGTATTAGCTACACGTAGTCTGACTGTAATTATTCTCAACTGGAATATCCATACATAAAAGCAATTTTGAAATTATATTAATTTGTACAATTATTCTAATAACATGTTATTTTCTTAGTTTTTATAAACCAATTTTAGGACTCTTTTTTATTGCATTTGCACAGCAATTTCTAAGTCAAATAATGAAGCCTCCCAAGTTTTCTGCAAGGTAAGGTAAGGTGAGGTCAGTGGAGACTGATCTCTACTGCTAGTTACAAATGCATTTATTTCCTCAGTGTTTCTTTCTTCAGGATATCCCAGACTTCCTGCTTATACAAGGTGTCACCTCTCATCTCTGTAAGCCTTGTGCGGTAAGTTAACACATTTGTATTAACAAGTAAATACATTTGTACTAACTTCCTGTGATGCACAGAGTGTGGATGCACCTTAGATGTGCAAATATCTCGTCACCATGAGGTAATGAGCAAGTAACCTTACCTTATAGGAAATTTAAGGGCAAACTGACATTACTAAGACAGTGATGGATGTGTGAATTAAATTCTAGAGTGATGAATCCCAGTCTAGCTCTCCTTTACAGCCATACAGTTAGACCAGGAATCCATCTCTTTCACTGTACTGAGTCTGAGATTTCAATTTCTTCTTATGCATATAGGGATAAATTTAAGAATTGTTTGACAAAAAATAGCGGAGTTACAGAAATGTCAAAACCATATAGGTGGAAGAAAGATCAAAGAATCACAGAATATCCTGAGTTGGAAGGGATCCACAAGACTCATCGAGGTCTAACTCCTTGTCCTGTGCAGGACAGCCCCAAGAATCACACCATGTGCCTGAGAGTGTTATCCAAATACCCCTTGAACTCTGTCAGGCTTGGTGCTGTGACCACTTCTCTTGGGAGCCTGTTCCAGTGCCCAACCACCCTCTGGGCAAAGAATCTTTTTTTCTAACATCCTATTATCTAACCTAGACCCTTTATCTTTCCATATGAACAGTGTGGTATATTGATATGTCTTTTACAATAATCTTAGTGGGATCAATAGAAATGTGACAGTTTTAGTACATCACCACACAATTTAGGGCAGTGATTTACAACACTGTTGTGTCCAAATTTTTTAAGACAAATCCACACCAATTTCAAGTCTCTTTAATATACAAATCATCTGGCCACTGAGATACCCTTGTGCTGCTCCTAAAGACTTCTCAGAGCAGGATGGGATAGCATCTGAGGGCATGAACAGTAATAAATATCCTCAGATAATATGATCCAAGTGACCAAAGCACAGAACTGCTACTTCTTCACTTCCAAAAGAAGGCTTTTTGGTTTGTTTTCATAGTGAAATAACTAACCTCACTGTCCAACCCTCCTGGGGACCATTACTTTAACTTTTCCCATGATGTAGTTAGGGAAGGTCAGCAGCAGTTCAGATGCACAGTATTTGGTACTGCTGGCTATAGCACGGCAAAAATTACCTATTTCTTGCCACCTTTAGGTTTGATTGTTGAACAGCTGTTGGACTGGAGAGACAACAAACACCGAGGATATAATCAAAGCTCACAGGACCAAGCAGAAACTGTTGTCTTCAGCAGGATTTTATCTCAGGCTAGAAGCACTCCAATATTTCACAGTAAAGACAAGCCTCAGACTTCCAGAAGAAGTTTTCCTTTGTTCTACTTTAATCAATCAGTGATAATTAACCAACATTTAGTTTCAGCTCGAGGAAGGAATGACAGAAATAATTATGTCCTGAGACAGACATCCCATCAGCTTCTCCAAACCTATTAACTGCCTCAGATGAATTCGCAATCAATTAAATGAGATTAAAAAGTATAAAACACAAACCATCTCCATTTCCATCTCTAGAGCCAGGATGACACAAAATTACTACCCAACTGCTGCATATGTTCCTATAAACGCACCATTATTCTGTCCATAAAACAGTTTTGCTGGTTCATCCCAGGACATGAGTTCCTCTGACACTGAAATACAATGTGGACTTGCTCCTAACTGATCCTGAGCAGGGAATGGAATAACCACTCCTGACATGTCTGTTTATAAGGCATCAGCTAAACAACTGTGTTATCACAAAATAACTCAATCAGGAGTTTCGTACTATAGGTACAGGTGGCCCATTGTAAAAGAAATTTGCAGTCTTGAAGAGAGGTTATTGTAGACAGATTAAAGATATGAAATATATAAATACTAGTGTGAAATAGGAGAATAAGGCTGTGGTAGTTTTAGTTACTTACAAGGTGTAGCTCTGCCCTCCTTGTTTGACTTAACGTAAACATTTGTTTAGGATAGGATGCACAGCATCCTAGACTCCCTGAACTGTGCCAGTGCAATCCCACTGTCTATAAACACTGGAGAGGAATCAGATGAATCCTGCCAAACATCTGCTTTCATTTATCAAAACAAGGTTAAGAAACTTGATCACAATTTATAAACATCTCTTGGGAAGGGACTTAACACAAACAGAAGGGAGGTGGTAGCACTGAAGGGGAAGCTGAGCCCCTCCAGCAGTGTCCAGCTCATAACATCTGGTGTGAGCAGTAGCAGTCACCGAGATTATTATTGATGAGACAGCACCGTTATTTTTATGATGAATAAACAGACTAAACCCAAAGTGACATAAGCCACTTGGTAGTGGCAAGCAGTCAGATTTATATCTAATCTTCATAGCTGCTTTTCAATAGTCTCCATTTATTTGGAGCTCCTAGTATTTTGATTTTATCATTATACATGCCTTCTGTGCTTTTTTTCTTCAAAAGCATAAATGAAATTATTCTTGAGTTCTTCTTCCTGCAGGTTTCTTGTTTGGACTTTTCTAACCTTAGCAGTGAGTAAAATTTCGTGGTCTTAATCCAGCAATTCAAGCATAAACTGTATTGGAGAACAGACTTTACCATTGGTGCCAATGTTCAGTGTGACTTGGAATCCACGAGGAATTCCAGAAAAACCCCCACATTGTGATAATATTTACGAAACAGGAGTAGCTTGCTCAAATCTGAGGAATCCAACAGACTGGCACCTTTTAGTCAGAAGAAATGTGCTTTTAGTAAAGGTAACTTCTTAGCCAGACTTCTCAGTTGCAAATATTATTACCTTTACCACCACAAGTCTCTCTAGCAGCACTCAAAAAAATTTCAATTTTTATTAACTATAAGAACATACAAAGATTGCCTGAGTGATACAGACTGGGAAGACACGTGAGAGATGCTAAATCTCCAAGCTCAGAGTAAAAAACCAACAAAACAAAAAACCAACCAACCAAACAGAAAACCCAAACAAACAACCAAAAAAAAAAAAAAGCAAACACAAAACCCCCCAGAGTGTTTCAATACAACCAAACAGGAGCACAGGGCATGGGTAAGGACAGAGAGCATCAGCATTACTCACAGTGGGAAATCTGCAGAGGGACTATAGGAAATACTCAAATGCTCATCTGCTAGTTCATGGTGACAAGCAAGTCTCAAGATGAGATTTTGGAGGACAGGAAGAGGATTTTATTTTAAAAACAAACCCATTTTCATTCACACCTGTCATACACACCACACACCCACATACTCACAACCAGAAGAAATGTGTGTGTCCATCATCCAGGCACCAAAGCATGTATATCCAGGGCCTGCTCAGGATCCCTCACAGTGAAACAGAATGGAAGGGACACAGCTCTGTAGTCCTTATCCTGGTCTCCTTCCATGGCTGGTGACCACTCACTGCTTTGGGATGTGCTTTTTGAACCCTGGAGCTGACAGCAACTGCCTTTTTCCATCTCTCCATCCCACCCTGCCTCTGTGGGTCATCAGGGTGCCTCTCTCTGAGTGCAAGGCTCCAGTTTTGACCTTTATTCTCCTGCTATCACCCCTTTGATGGTCTGAGGCTTTGTTTCAACCTAAATGTAGGTTGTCCTTTGCTGTAGATCATCCCTTGTTTGTCTGATCCAGCCTGATGGTGTATCTCTGTCAGCTCCAGCTCAGCTAGGCATGTATAAATGTGACCAAAGGAGTGTCTTTGCAGCCTCTCACCTCTGGTGATTGAGATGCCAGCAGATGCAATCCCCTGGATTCTCCTGGATGGCAGGGTCATGCTGCAGCAGACTTCAGTCAGTGACCTGGAGACTCTGTAAGAGCCCAGGTTGCTCCTGGTGTTATTTCCACTCCTGTGAAAAGTGATTGCACTTAGCAGGTCAGCTGGCTATAGATGTGACTTTTTGGGGATTCCCATCTCTACTGGAAATAAAAATAAAAATAATGGTTGAAAACCACTGAACTAGATAATGCAAGAGCCTTCCAGTGGCCTTGAATATGCTATTCATTGAGGTCGGAAGCTGCTATGGAATTTTTCAATACATGATTTAATCTAGGCAGCCTGAGCTCCAGAAGCAGAGGGAGGAAACCCAGCGACTCTGGAGCCAGGGGCCCTCAGGCAAGGAAAGGGAACATTTTCAATGGCTTTTAGAGGACGCATTGGCCAAGTCACACATGTTACAGCAGTTCACTGGTGGCATTATAAAGCTAGAAAAGCAGTGTCAGGTGAGCTGCCTAAAAGGACAAAGATTGCTTCCTACTCTGCAGCATGCTAACATTTGGGCATTTCTGGGTTTTAACTGCCTCACAGTCAGACAGCAAGCTCTTAGCATAGGGATTTTTTGGCCATGGTAAACACAGCAGCAGCTCCTCGGCAGGCAGAAACTGCTGTGGCACTGAATTCTCAGCAACTGTGGTTTCCAGAGTGACATAGTCTTGCCCTGGTAGCTGCAATGCCCTACCCTGTGCACTTCCATCCACCCACTGCAGGACATGCAGCACTTCTCCCTTCACCTGCACCAGGAGTGCCAGGAGACAAAAGGCTTCCACTGGGAACTGTTCTTTCTTCGTAAGAAAAAAAAAAAGGCTTGAGTTTGCTTCTCAGATGGATCAGTCCTAGATCTAAGTCCCAGTGTGGCCATGCAACTGGTGGTGCCAGCACAGTGCAGGAAGCAGGGAGGGAAGGAGCCAAGGGAGGTCTGGGGATGGATTCTGCCATCACCCCAGTGAGGTGTGACTACCACTGAGGGTACAGCATAGTCTCAACTCCAAAAAGATCAGTGTCTGAACAGCTTTCCATGAACCACTTCCACATCTTTCTGCCTCAATGGTATTCCTTCCCTTCTTCTTCCTGGAATAGTTTGCTGATGTTTTCTGCGGACAGCATTTTCTTTTCTATTCCAGAAAATCTGGAACTTTATCAATAAAGCAAACAGACCTGTGAGTCCTAACCTTCACTGTTTTCTTTTGTTAATTTCCAGTATTCTAGGGGAAAATAAAACAA